TGAGGATGTTTGTGGAGGATTATAGATGACTGTGATGATTATTGCACGATTGATGGATGATAACTGATGATCGATTAACGATTCTTTATTTAATGATTGATTGATTGATGCATTATCATTTATGGATGTCGATTGATGATTGGAGGATGTTGATGGAGTATTATAGATGACTGTGATGATTATTACACGATTTATGGATGATAACTGATGATCGATTAATGATAATTTATGGATGATGATTGATGGATTTTGATTTATGGATGTCGATTGATGATTGGGGTTGTTGATGGAGTATTATAGATGACTGTGATGATTATTACACGATTTATGGATGATAACTGATGATCGATTAACGATTCTTTATTTAATGATGATTGATGGATTATGATTGATGGATGTCGATTGATTATTGGGGGATGTTGATGGAGTATTATAGATGACTGTGATGATTATTACACGATTGATGGATGATAACTGATGATCGATTAACGATTCTTTATTTAATGATTGATTGATGGATTATGATTTATGGATGTCGATTGATGATTGGGGTTGTTGATGGAGTATTATAGATGACTGTGATGATTATTACACGATTTATAGATGATAACTGATGATCGATTAATGATAATTTATGAATGATGATTGATGGATTTTGATTTATGGATGTCGATTGATGATTGGGGTTGTTGATGTAGTATTATAGATGACTGTGATGATTATTACACGATTTATAGATGATAACTGATGATCGATTAACGATTATTTATTTAATGATGATTGATGGATTATGATTTATGGATGTCGATTGATGATTGGGGTTGTTGATGTAGTATTATAGATGACTGTGATGATTCTTACACGATTGATGGATGATAACTGATGATAGATTAACGATTATTTATTGAATGATGATTGATGGATTATGATTTATGGATGTCGATTGATGATTGGAGGATGTTGATGGAGGATTATAGATGACTGTGATGATCATCACACGATTGTTGATCGTTTATACATGCTTGATGGATGATGATTGACTATGGATGAATGATTTATGCTGATGAATGGATGATGATGATGATGAATTAATTATGACTTATACATGAGTGATGGATGATGATTAACGATTGATATTGATGGGTGATCGTTTTCGGATAATCATCGATGGACGATTACTTCCGCATGATTGTGATTTACGAATTCTGATATACGAATAACGATTCGTAGATGGCGGATAATTGATGATGACTTACACATGATTGAAAGCTGATTATTGATTATATTATGGGTCGTTGATAATTTACAGATGATGACTTATGAACGCTGATCGATCAATGGTGATATAGGGATGATGATGATTTTTGTTTAAGATTGACAGATGACGAGTGATGGAGGATTCTTGACGACTGATGATCGAATATCGAAATATCGATTGATGGATCATGATTTATTGATGATGATGATGATGATGAATTATGATGACCAATTGCGATTCGAAATTTCTATGTTCATTATGACGTCATGCCTTGCGTCACGTGGGTGACAACGCATGGTGAGCAGCGGACGTCGAATCGGCGTCGCTGTGAAATCTTTGGCTCTGTCGGTAAAGTCACGTGGTTCGGTTCAAGGAAAATAGCAAAAAAATAACAACAAAAAACTACGACGTTTCGATCGCAACACAAGCGGCTCGTGGGACTTGTTTTGACCACAAATCACCGCGCTGTTCAGTGCGGGTTGGTGAAGACCGGTAGGCACTGATGTTGGACAGAGTATACGTCCATGCGTCTCATGCTGCTGACACACGTTGTTACTGCACTGCCTTGCCTATGAAACGTATTTGCACAAACACGTTGTTATATTTCACAAGCGACTTGTTTTGTCTAAATGTTGTGAAACAGACCCGGTCTGTTTATGAATGACGATATTTTATTGGCACATAGTAAGTAGCCTCTTAAAAACAATGTCACGTGATAGTCTTTGGGTCTTTCGGTAAAGTCAAGTAGATAGGTCCACATTAAATAACAAAAACTTAAAACTACGACGTTTCGATCGCAACACAAGCGGTCGACCCGTTGTAATTTTTGTTATTTTCTTTGAACCTCTCTACGTGACTACCGAAAGACCCAAACAATATGAATTCCTGCAGTCACGAAAGTCAATGTCATATGAGCCTGGTTATTTGCCGAGAATATGGTCGACCGATCTTGCAGCATGTTCTGAAATACAGGCACGGACAAACCAGATACAGGCAGTCATCGACTTACAAACATTCGACTTGCGAACATCCAAACTTAAGAACCAGCAAACCGGTTCGTAAGTGAACCCCAAAACTATTTTGTTTAGCGGAGCGATCCTCCGCGATATGTAAGTCCGCCTCGCGCGGCCCGAGTTCCATTCCCGCTCAGGGCTAGCATCGGTGACGATTAGCTGAACCGGTCATGGGCCTCCCGTAGGTCGACTCAGCCTCAAATAAGTACCTGATGTGGTGCGTAAAAACATCGCCACTAGGGAGACAAAGGTGGTCGGGCGTGGTGTTGAACACCCACCCGCTCGTGTATCGTTCGGGCCTTCATAGGTGCTCGCTAACAGCACTTGCCCCAACAGTCTGTTCAGCCTACGTGTGAAAGTGAGTGTGTCTGTGAAAGTGAGTGTATGCACCTAGTGAGTGTGTGTGTGCACCTCGTGAGGGTGTGTGTGGGGAGCGGCAGTGAAATGTTTATCACGCTGCGCTACCAATCCGGCGACCCGAGTTCGATTCCCGCTCACGGCCAACACCAGTGACGATTGTCTGAATGGCTCCTGGGCCTCCCCTAGATCGACTCAGCCTCAAATGAGTACCTGGTTCGGTGTGTAAGCATGTCGTTGGGGTGTGTGGCCGTGCGTCTGTGTTCGTGTCTGCGCGTGCTAGCGCGTGCCTCGTGTGTGTGTCTGTCTTTGTGTCTGTGATGTTCATAATCAATGTTTTTGGGTTAGATCACGTTATTTATAAATGTGTCGTAACCCTCCACCACCCGACACGGCCAATCAGCAAAAAAAATTGTAAATGTTGTGGTTTCACGCTTCAACACACCGGTGGGCTAAAGCAGTGAACTGTTTGTCTTTTGTCAACGTGACACTTTTTTGTCGATTGGCCGTTTCGGGTGGTGGAGGGTTACGACACATTTATAAATAACGCGATCTAACCCAAAAACGTTGATAATGAATAATATTGGTCGCGAAAGCCTACGTGTTGAACTGTCTGTGATGTCTTTGTCTCTGTGTCTTTGTTTTTTGTGTGCACGGGCGCGTGCGTGCCCCGTGTGTGTGCGTGCAATTGTGGTGGCTCATGGCGCCCCTTCCGACAAGTAAGCCAGAATCAGGACTCAAGGTAAACACAAATGAAATTGATTTTTTTAAAATCTATTCATGTTACTTTGTTTATTTACTGTACAGTATTGTTTAACAGTGTTACATGCAAATGTATTTCTTCTTATTTATGAGTTTAACAATGCTTCATGTTTTTTGTTGAACCGTAACATGGAACACTGACCACATGGGCATTTAAATATAGTACATTGCTGTGTTCCGACTTACGAACCGTTCGACTTACGAACGGGTCTCGGAACGTATTGTGTTGGTAAGTCGAGGACGACTCTTTATGACCCACTATATGATGCATTATCATCAGAGGGTGGAGCGGTGGCGCAGATGTTTGAAGCGATTATGGGCGCCTCCACTTTCGCCACGACGCACTGAACGTGGTGAAGTATGGTCTATGGAGGCGGGGGGGGCTTTTATCCAGCAGTAGATTAATAGAGCATAAGTGTATGAACGCACAAATTTTACACGACGGTATATGACCATATTCTAACAGATTATAGGACGCACTTTTTGCATGCAGTGTGCTGTGTAAAATGTGACCTTTTTTTTGTCAGAGAACATGTTTTGTTTGCATGTTCATCACAAGCACGCGTGGTCAATGCAGTCGTGATTCCTTGCAACAAAAAGGTTTCTATTTTGGTGTTTGAACGTCTTAACACAACTTGTTTAATTGCCAGACGGGGCAAAACCTCCTCTTAATATTTTCACAGTGTGCTGTATTTTAAACCAAAAAGTTGGCGGTGCGCGCCTTACACTCCCGGCAGCTGCGAGTGTGCGGCCAGATCTCTGCGACTTCCCTTGTCGACGGCCCGGCACAACATCTTATTATTATTAGTTTTGTGTCAGCTGCGCTTCAGACTTTGCGCGGAACGTCGAACAGTCCGACCTGAACAGCGCGCCGCGTGGCGAACAGTGCACCGGCAAACGGCCCCCAACGGCGACGCTTGAATTGCAGGCCAAATCCACGCGTGCTTAACTTGTTTTATTTTACCCCATGGGCGTAAAAAGACACACAAGACCCACGAAAGAAATGTGGCATTCCATAACCCCCCGGGGCCGCAAGTCAGTCACACAACCGACTGCTGCTGCTGCCGCCATATGAGGTCAAAAATGCGCGCGCCTGGCTTTGGAATCTGACGCAGTCCTCGACGGACACGTGTGCACTCGGCGTATAATGCGCGACACGATGATGGGAGGTATGTCGGAACCGAACTAGCATTGATCTCATCGCACGGCGCCGCTGCTGCGTTGCCAGCGATACGAGAGCACAATTAGCAACAACAACAACAACTACGAAGCAACTCGACGCAATAGCATTGCATTGAAAAAGTGAAGGAAAAAACGATACAATAAGCGACGTTCCGGCCAATGACCCTGTTTCATAGCGCAAGAAGGGGGGGGGGGGGCATTGCCCGAGACTTCAATGTTATATATTTATTTAAGATAATGCAGTTTTATTGACGGATGTTGACTTTATTATTTAACTATTTGGGCGTCAACCCGTAGCCGAATCCACCCGCTAGAGGACGTCTTGCTTTAAGGTGCTTCTTCTAATCCCCCGCAAAAAACAACAAACTACGACGTGATTTCTTCTGTTTCTCTCTCTCTCTCTGCCCAAAAAAAAAAATCCACAACAGCGGTTGGTGGGATGGGCAAAATTCCACCGAAGGACCCCCTCCCTCCCGATCTCGTCCGCGTTCCCGGACGTACCCAGCACAGGAAATGACTGCACAGCGCCGGACGAACGCGCAGTCGGCCAAGGGAAGTTGCGCACCCACCCGCCCGCCCGCACCCACCCGCGTTTGCGGATACTGCATTTGCACCATCGGCACGGGCACCGACGACACGCATTGTGCGGGACAAAGGATCTAACCCACGCACACACACCCACACACACTCGCGTACACACACGGGGCTCTGCATCGTACACACACCGCTCACGGACACACGCACACGCGCCACGCCACGCGCGTGCACAACACGTGTCACAGCAGAAGGAGCCACAGCGACTTTGCAGATCATCCCGAGTGGGGGGGCGGCGGGCGGGGGAGGGGGCACATTTTTATTTGGTGGCGGCGAATCATCATTTCAAAAGAAGTGTGCTCCAGAGTGGTGCCGTGCGAGACGAGGTCGCGTCTGAATCCACCACGATGTTGACCCGGGCAGGCAGAGCGCGTCCGTCGCAGACGCCGCTGCTGCTGCTGCCCGCAGTGCTGGTTGTGGTGCTGCTGGTGGTGCCAGTCGGTGGCGCACAGGATGGAGGAGGAGGAGGAGAGTGCCACGCCGCTTTCGACCTCTACTTCGTACTGGACAAGTAAGAGTGGGACTCGCCGGAGATGAGAGGCGGGGGGGGGTGTCAGCAGTTTGGGTGCGTTGAAGTTCTCTCGCACCGGCACTTTTAAATCGTGCCAGATTGAAACGTCGTTTGGTAAGAACTGCTTTGTTTTGTGTGTGTTCGTTTGTTGCCCTTGCCCCGCACCTCCGACTGACACGGTTGGATAGTACGGTGCGGAAGAAGTTCAATATGCACAGTGCATAGATGCCGTGCGTAGCCAACCTGGGAGGTGCGGGAGAGGGACAACAAACAGAACACACACACTGTACACACAAACTAAACACAAACTAAACACACAAACTAAACACACAAACTAAACACGCAAACTGAACACGCAAACTAAACACACAAACTAAACACACAAACTAAATACAAACTAAACACACAAACTAAACACACAAACCAAACACACAAACTAAACACACAAACTAAACACACACACTGTACACACAAACTAAACACAAACTAAACACACAAACTGAACACACAAACCAAACACACAAACTAAACACACAAACTAAACACACAAACTAAACACACACACTGTACACACAAACTAAACACAAACTAAACACACAAACTGAACACACAAACCAAACACACAAACTAAACACACAAACCAAACACACAAACTAAACACACAAAATAAACACACAAACTAAACACACAAACTAAACACACAAACTAAACACACAACTAAACACACAAACTAAACACACAAACTAAACACACAAACCAAACACACAAACTAAACACACAAACTAAACACACAAACTAAACACACAAACTAAACACACAAACTAAATACAAACTAGACACACAATCTGAGCACACAAACTAAACACGCAAACTAAACACACAAACTGAACACACAAACTGAACACACAAAATAAACACACAAACTAAACACACAAACTAAACACACAAACTAAACACACAAACTAAACACGCAAACTGAACACACAAAATAAACACACAAACAAACCACACAAAATAAACACACAAACTGAACACACAAACTGAACACACAAACTGAACACACAAACTAAACACACAAACAAACCACACAAACAAACCACACAAACTAAACACACAACCTAAACACACAAACTAAACACACAAACAAACTGAGCACAAAAACAAAACGCAGTTCTAAACAAACGAGTTTTCGCATCGGAGACAAAGTTAACGACACCTCGGAATAGTGTTAAACTTGTCAAACAGTCTTCGACTTACGAACATCCGACTTACGAACATCCGACTTACGAACACCCGACTTACGAACAACCGCAACTTACGAACCAGCTTCCACGAGATATGTTTTTGTTTAACATTGACTTGCAAACGGGAACTCGGACTGATGAACAATTTCGTTTAGCGAGGCGATCTTCCGCGAGATGTAATGAGTCAGGAACTTTATTTATCCTGGATAATTCCTGGTGAGTGTGTGTCTCTGTGTGTGGGGAGCGGTGGTGTAGTGGTTAGCGCGCTGTGCTATGAACTTGACGCGCCGGGTTCGATTCCCGCTCACGATCAACACCAGTGACAATTATCTAAGTGGGTTCTGGGCCTCCCCTAGGTCGACTCGGCCTCGGATGAGTACCCGGTGTGGTGTATGGTAAACATCGCCACGAGGGAGTCAAAGGCGGCCAGGCATGGTGCTGGCCACCCACCCCCTCGTGTGTTGTGCCGGCCTTCATAGGTGCTACAAAGGCTATACAGGGGAGCGTTGTTGTGCGTGGCGTGCTCAATTGTCGGGACTTATTGCGTCCTTCCCGACATACAAGCCAGCATCAGGACTCAAAGAAAGTTAAAATCAAACCGATTTGTTTTCCGATTTATGTTACTTAATGTCCGTCTTTTATTGCAATATTGAATACAAATTTAGACTATTTCTTAGTCATGAGTTTAACAATGCTTCCATTTTTTGTTGAACCGTAACACTGGCCGTTTGTTCGTTTAAAAACGGTACAGTTTCATGTTCCGACTTACGAACACGCACACTTACGAATGGTGCGTAAGTCAAGGACTTGTATATACATAGGAGCCGTGGTTTGCGTGTTTTGGCAGGACTTTGTTAAAAGGTGGCTTCTTGTTGTTGTTACTGCTGCTGATGATGATGAGCATAGTAATACACCTCTGGTAGTGGTGGCGCATTGGTTCGCGCACCGCTCTCTGAAGGGCCGTCCAGAAATGACGTCACGCACCTGGGGGGGGGGGTCAGACATTTGTGACGATGTGTGACGACGGGGGGAGGGGGGGTGAGAAATGTGACGTCACATCAAAATGCGCAACTTTAAATAAATCTAGACAACACGTTCTACTTCATTAAATGACTTTTTTTAAATAAATGTTTTCTACTACAACATCAGCGTGCAGCGCCACATTAAATACGCACTACAATGACAATAGTTTAAAGCGATTTGAAGCATGTTTTGTGGGGGGGGGGGCAGAGCTTTGTGACGTCATATTTGAGGGGGGGAGGTCTGACTTTTTGTGACGTCGTGTGACGAAGGGGGGGGGGGGGGTAAAAAATCGTCCAAAATCGCGTGACGTCATTTATGGACGGCCCCTTATATTTATATAGGTCGGCTCGGCGTTTTCAATGAGTTTCTGGTGCCAGTCGTGTGTGGGCATCGACACGGAGGAGACGTGGTGCCGGACCACAGCAGTTTGCCGTTCAATGCGTTGTTCCAGGTCTTTATAGGTGCTCGCTAACAATAACTTCTTGCCACTGCAGTCTCCCTGTAAGCTGGGCTGCCCCTAGGGGGGGAGGGGGATTATTACATCCGTCATGTATGCACATTTGTTGAACTTCTCTCGCACCGTACCTAGCCGACCATGCTAATCGGAGGTGCGGGGGGAGGGAAGGACAACACACGAAACACTAAAACGCAGTCCTAAAAAAATTCGTTTAAACATCTAGATCATTTAAAAGTGCATGGCTCCAGTGGCTTCCTAATATCGGGCGGAAGAGCGTTCCAGACGGCCGCAGAAGCGCGTCTGAAAGCGACCGCGATGCGTGTGACCGTCTTTGTTCGACGGTTATAGCCAAACGCTGCTTCTGAGTGCGCCTGGTGGTTTGTGCTCTTTGAGCAGATCGTCAAGGTGTTGTGGGTCACTTGTGGCAAGCACTTTGTGTGCAATGAGCACGACCTTTTATCTTATTAGTTCGGCGGCCGGAAGCCACGGCAACTCGGCGACACAGTGACGTCAACGTGCTGCCCCCCCCCCCCCCCAATGCTTTGGGACCCCCCCAATGCGCGTGGCCCCCCAATGCGAGGGGCCCGGGCCCCCACCCCAATGCGCCCCCCTCCCCTCCCCGATGCTTTTGGACTCCTCAATGCGCGTGGCCCCCCAATGCGAGGGACCCGGGTCCCCACCCCAATGCGCCCCCCTCCCCTCCCCGATGCTTTTGGACTCCTCAATGCGCGTGGCCCCCCAATGCGAGGGGCCCGGGCCCCCACCCCAATGCGCCCCCCTCCCCTCCCTGATGCTTTTGGACTCCTCAATGCGCGTGGCCCCCCAATGCAAGGGGCCCGGTTCCCCCCCCCAATGCCCCCCCCCCCCCCCCCCAATGCGAGGGGCCCGGGGTGATCGCCCCGATTTGCTTTACCCCTAAGAGACACGGCTCTGCGTGGTCACAGCGCTAATCTCTCCGGCATCTCGCCGCCGGAAACGCCCCTCCTCTGGGGGTTCGCGGGCCCAGCCAGAGGGGGGTTCGAGCCCAGTTTGTGAGAGAGGGCGGATCGCAGCGGCCGATTTGCCTTTCGAATGCAGAGCTCCCTGGAACGCCGATTTTTCGAGAGGAAAAGAGCTGTCAACAGGTCGGAGTTGTGTTAAGTCGCCCGAATGAGCAAATCTGAGAGGTGGTTTGATTAGACACACGTGCCCTAAGGGCATGCCTTCCAACAACGCGTTGGTATCATACTTCATACTCATCACTATTAGAAAAACAAGTTTTGCTGGCTGGCTGGCTGACTGGCTGGGAGGGAGGGACGGACAGACGGTCACGTCCAAATGAGGTACGGGTTGCTAGTTCCTATCAAGAACAAAAAAAAACACGACGAGTCAGCATCATCCAAGGGTCGGAATCTTTAAGGTCCACATGTCCGTAGTTGTATTTTCTTCTTGTACGAAACCAACACGCATCCCCTCCACTCTTCTCTCGTCACCCAACCCCCCTTCCCGTTGCGATCCGCCTCGATTCCCTTCTCAGAGACAACGGATAAGAGATGACATCTACGGTAGAACGGTCCCTCTGGCTAATCACTGCGATTCCATTACCCCTAACATTAGCTGCTCACTGTGTGCCAGTGTGTAACACGGCCACACTTATCCGTGCCACGACTTAGAATCCTCGTTCATTTTGCCGATGCAGTATTCGGTTTGGCTCCATGTGCCGCGGGCTCTTCCAGTGAGTGCTAAGCTGTCCAGTCGACTCACGCTCGTGGGCTTTTTGCCGCAACATCGTGCACAATAACAAGTTCCATGCTCCTGTTACCGGCTGCATTGTTACGTGCTGGATAGCTACCGCTGTGCGCGCGTGTGTGTGTGTGTGTATTTGAGGGGGAGCGGTAGTGTAGCGGTTAGCGCTATGAACCTGGCAACCCGGGTTCGATTCCCGCTCACGGCCAACACCAGTGACGATTATCTGAACCGGTCCTGGGCCTCCCCTAGGTCGACTCAGCCTGAAATGAGTACCTGGTGCGGTGTGTAAACATCGCCACTGGGGAGACAAAGGCGGTCGGGCGTGGTGCTGGCCCACCCACCCCCTCGTATACCGGTCGGGCCTTCATAGGAGCTCGCTAACAGCACTTGCCCCTACAGTCTGTTAAGGCTATACGGGTGATCTTTATCTTCATTTCACATAGAGTTTAAATCATGGCTAAATGTAACGCGGCATTTACAGCCTGACTCGCTGAGATGCGTAAATGTCCATCGGTCTGGCTGCGTGACACTTCTTGCCACCTGAGACATTGCAGGCTTGTGGCCAGTGTGGAGCACGTGCCGGGAGGCCGTTGTGTGCAAGGATTTAATGCTCTCCAGCTAAAGGTTCAACGTGTTCATGCATTAGCTCTGTCCGTCCGTAACAGGAGGGGCACTATAACTCTCGTGAAAATGATCCAATACGAACCAATGCGCAGTAAAGTTGGCTTTCTATTAGGCACTTTAGCCTTATTGAAAAGCGGCCACTTCGTTCCAAGGGCTTGTTGAAAACATTGGAGGACCCAAACGAGAGCACCAAAGGACTATTTGCAAATGTGCAAACGTATTTTTCCCGAGCAGCCGTCCGTCGTCGGCTTCCGCGCGCCGCAGGCTGAACACATCCGACGACTCGCGCTCGTTGATCAGGAGTCACGGGTAATGCACGTCGCGTGACGCGTGACGTTCGTGCGCGCGCGGTTTTCCTAACTCGGAGCGGGCCCCCCACTTCTCGTCGGCAGATCGGGGAGCGTGGGGATGCACTGGAATGAAATCTACGACTTCGTCAGAGAGCTCACGGAAAAGTTTGTCAGGTGCGTGAACAAAAAAAAAATCGGGAATAACGATAACCGCAAAAATAATGATAAAATGACTCAACATTGCCTACTCACTCTTAAAAAAAATTGCGGTCTACCGTACACGTGTCGTAAGCATGCTCCGTCGACTTGATCCGTGGGATAGTTGCAAACATTGTCCTCAGCAGACCCTCTGCCCCGAGGACGGTCGTTGTTAAATGATGTGGGCACACCCATCGCTACCCCCGGGGCATCTGATTCCCATGCCGTGTTCTGTCTGGTCCCAGCCCTTTTGTGTCCTCAAGCAAAACTAAATTGCAGCTGCGCAGTGCTCTCTCTCGACCTGTACGCTTCCGGTTACAACACAATTAAAGGAGGCAATGTGGTGTTAACTTGTCCACCACCATATTTGGAGACCTACTGGTGCAATGTTCTTGTATGGATATAATAAAGTTCAGCTCGAGTTCATTGATGTGCTCTACTGCTATGCTCTCCTTCACCAAAACGGAAACTGACCATCATGGTGAGCTATGGGTCATACAACCCCTGCTGCAAGCACGGTGTGGGGAAGCCCCCTGAAATGCAGCAGTGGATTGGATAAAGAGCTCTCCACATTGTACAACGCGGTTCATACTTGTCGGTGTCTCCATTGCGTTTGTGCTGCCTGAAGGCGAACGCTCTGGGCATCGCGGTGAACCGGTTGTTGCAAACAAACTCCTCGCGTGGTTTTTATTTCGCCCCCCCCACAGCCCGATGATGCGATTGTCATACATCGTGTTCTCCTCCAAGAGTTACGTCATCATGGAATTGACATCCGACAGGTACATTTCTGTGGTTTTTGGTTCGCCGTGTTTTTTTGTTTTTGCGTCCTTGAGTCACGGACTATGGTTGTGTACTCCAGCGGTGCGCCCGGATATTTATGTGCTTCAGCAACCAACGAACACAAATAAAACAGTTCTCCGATTTTTTTTAGTGGTGGATTATAAAAAATTTAACTGGATTTCTCTTCACTTGATACAGTAAATTTGGCTGTGACGGTCCCACCTGAAGACGGAGACTTGTGTTGCCTCCGAAACGTCGTGATTTCATGTAGTTATTTTCATTTATTATTATTTTATTTTATTAATATTATTTTTTTACCTACGTGACTTTACCGAAAAAACCTAAGAGTATTAACACACGCACTTATATTTTAAAATTCGAATGAAAGCTCGTGATCTTTCGAAGAGATTGCTACACGGACATGTGGCTTTTAAATAAACCAGCAACGTTAGGTCAGTGTGACTTTTCTTTTACTTTACATTTTTATTCCAAAAGCAACATCGTTGCCCCGCGTACCTCTCACTAAACAATACGTTCAGAGCAGCATTCCGTGCAGAGTCCCCAATACTCGCTCACGCTGCCTCGTCACTCCGTCACTCCGGCACGTGCTTCCCGTCGTCTTTAGTACGCAGCGATCTCCGTTGCTGCTAACGTTCTGCGGACGATCATGCCGCACGCCGCCGTGCGTCTTTGCTCCAGAATGTGCCATTGCATATTCGACGGATTGTTTGCGACTCTGGCCGGCGAAGTTGTGTGCGGCGTTTTAGAGGGTGCTGATAGCCAATCTAGATCCTGATTGGGGATGAAAATTCAGGCCTTCTATAACCTCCAGGGTTAATACAAATGTCTTTTTTTCCTGCCATAGTAACGTGAAACACTCCAACAACTTCATTGTTTTTTGTACCCTTTTATCTGGCAACAAAACTGACACCTTTTTTACAAGGAGTCATGTTTGCATTGACCACAATACCTGCAGTCGGAATGCAAACAAAAAACACAACTCTGATAATGTATGCACTGTCCTTGAAGTTGATTGGTCCACACCCGAGACAGCTTTCCTTAGAGCCTAGTCTCACATGGTGTTGGACCAGATGACGCCAAAAGGCGCACAACTCAAAGACGTTGCACCATCAGAGTATGAGAGCTCGGGGTAAGCATTTACACCATTGGAACCCCCTTTGCCAATAGCAAAATATGATAATTGGTTTTTTACTCTTTTATCTGGCAACAAAACGGACACCTTTTTTTCCAACAAGTATTAGGGGGGATTAGTGGCAGAGTGGTTGCCACCACTGCGCTATGAGCCCGGTGACCTGAGTTTGATTCCTAGCCAAAGCAGATGTCAGTTGTAAGTTATTGACGAACCGTTCCTGCCCTCCCCCTCAATCCTGCACCAACCCGTACTGACCAGCGTGGTGATGAATGGTGAAAACAAAAATATAATAACATTTTAGCCCATCAGGTTTTCGGCCTTCCCACCAATTATGTTTAAGCCACATTAGTTTTAGGAAGACCAACTCTCTGAACTTCATAATTGTCATTAGCAGAGCTTGGCCTGTTCGACAAAAGCACATTTGTTGCCCAATGTTATACGACAAGAGCCATCTTCAGACAATGTGGAGGTCTCGATTTAAAGCTTTCGTGACTGCAGGGATTCATCTTCTTGGTTCTTTCGGTAAAGTCACGTAGAAGGGAAGTAATAAAACAATAAAAATAAAACACAATAAAATAAAATAATTCTCACGACGTTTCGGCCACAACGCAAGCAGCCTTCCCTTCTACGTGACTTTACCGAAAGAACCAAGAAAATGTGGAGGTCATTCACTGCATGGTAGTAAATGAACAAACGCACGCACGCACGCGCGCTTGTACGGTATGTTTATGTATCACGTTAAACCTTTGTACCTTCTCCCATGGGCCCTCGTGCAGAGAAAAGATTAAAAAGGGTTTGGAGGACTTGAAAAATGTACAACCAACCGGAGACACTTACATGCACGAGGGCATCAACGAGGTAAGGCGAGCGCGCCCCACGTGCTCACGCTTGTGCAACCTGGGATGGCATCGGGGGCACATTTGCAATGTGTTTCCTGTTGACTGCTGGGAAGTTACATCGTTTAGGCAACCTCACAGTCAAAATAAAAATAAATCATCTTTACGTACAGGATGTAGTAGGTACGTATCTACGTTGAACTTCTTTCACACCAACCGTGCTCAAAGGAGATGCGGGGACTGCGAGATGATTAACTGTGGTTTTCGTAAACGTGGCTTCTGTATGGAATGCCTCGTCCCTCTTTCTCGTTGGGTCCTCGGTAATTTTAGGTTATTTTGCTGCTAAAGATTTCCTACGTGACAAGCCACTTCGTTGAGCTGTCATTAGTTGCCAGTTCGCTTCTGAAAAAAAAAAGCTAAATAGCTCGGTGGACTTTACCTGGAAATGTACCAAAAATAATGTGTATATATTTTTCGAATTGTTTATTTACCCGTCCAATACTTGGCACTCCTATCGTGTCTTTGAATTGTTTGTTGTTGTAACGTTCTGACCTGCTCCTACTGGACATTTGTGAAAAGAAGAGCTTGATAGCTCACCGGAATCCTGCAGAATAAATAAATATTCTGATCCTGTGCCCGGCTGGTTGGCGTTCACCTCTGTACAGTGGCACAATTCTTGGAGCCACCCCAGCATCTCTGTTAGGGCATAACCAGATTGCACCCGGGTCACAGTGATACATTGCAAACATTTACGCTGTATATTTAAGACTCAAGATTCATGCAGCAAAAAAATAATATTTCACTTAAAATAACTGCGTTTTCCTTTCATCTCTCAGGCAATCGTACAAATTGAGGGTGAACAACAGAAAGGTATGGGTTTTTTATGAAGATGCTTGTACCACATCTCTGATTAATTGCTCTTTCACGGGTTTTTTTTTTATAACTTCAAAATAAGCCATGCATTATTGTTACATTTGATGGCCCATGTTTATAACCCACTTCCATTAAAATTGATTTTAACTCGTAGCCGTCGCCGCTGAACAATCCATTTTGATATTTCAATGAAAAACAAATTAACCGTAAAAGCTTCACCCTTGAGCTGCCGAGATTCATCTCTCCCATTCCATGAAGGTTTGAACGGAAACGACTGTGGTGAGCATATTGTTAGATCCATTGCTTCTCGGTGCCATAAACAACATCGTCCAATGGTGCTTTGAAATTGGCACATCACATCGTCGTTCATTGCAGATGCTTAAAATAAAATTTCCGTCAAGTCATTCACAAAGCCAACATCCGCTATTTCTTTATCATATGGATGCAGCGATCAGCTTGCAATCCGAAGGTTGCGATATCAAATCCTGGTTGGGGGGATTGAGTCAGACCATCATCAGCATCATCCCTATGGAGTCGATTAAATAAGTACTGCGTAGTGGGGAAGTCAACGGGGTTGTTTCACGGATAGACCCACTCTCTGTCGCAGAAATGTGGAATTCCCGTTACTGCCTCAGGTTCTGTGAACAGGAAATAAGCACCACGAGAAACCACACTTGCTTTAAAAAATATATATTATTTGACTGAGGACGTCTGCCCTTTGATTGCGTCCGATGAAGCCCGTGCTGTCCGCGCTTGTGTCCTTGCCAGGGAGAAGAGTGTCGAGTGTGATTGTATCCCTCACCGATGGAGACCTCGTTGAAAACCTCTTTCCCTACGCCAAGAAATCGGTAATATGATTCGTCGCCGGGGCATGGGGAACAAAGCCTGCATTGTTACCCTCACCTCGCACGAACCTATTATGTACTGCTTTCAGGATTAAATCATTTTTCGCCCTGATTTCATGTCTTGAGATCAAATAAAACCATCACTTCTGCGCTCCGGTTTCTGCTCGCGTGAGGCCACTTTCCTAGAATTCTGAGCCCCGAGCGTGCTCCCGGTACTCCCTCGCGCATTCCACCGCCGCCACCACCGCCGCTTGCCGCCCTGCTTGAACGAATCTCCAAGAATTCCACGAAAATAGCCAAAGCCATTCACGGACGTGGTAGCGGTGGCTGCTCGCACAGTCTTGGCCTGTGTGACTGGAGGGTGGCAAGAAACCGTCGTGTATCACTGTCCCCAAACTACGAGGCAAAGAGGTGCACACGTAGCGGAGTTAGTTGCACGTTCCTCTTACCGATGAATGTTCACGGCATGAGTGGAGGCTAAGGTTTGTCGCGTAAACAAAACGTGCCAATGAGTCACTACTTCAGCCCACCGGCGTGTTGGAGAGTAAATCCACAACATTTGCAATCTGAGCAGCGTGACGTTTCGCTGGTAATTACATCCAAAGCTTACCGGTTGGCTGTGGCAGGTGGTGGCGGGGTTAACGACACATTTACGCTGACGCGGCGACCTCACCAGAAATCCTTTATTAGGAAGGCGATCAAATTTCAATTTAAAGCTTTCGTGACTGCAGGGATTCATCTTCTTGGTTCTTTCGGTAAAGGCACGTAGAAGGGAAGTAATAAAATAATAAAAATAAAACATAATAAAATAAAATAATTCTCACGACGTTTCGGCTATAACGCAAGCAGCCGTCTTCAGGTGAAGAACAACATTCTATAACGCAAGCAGCCGTCTTCAGGTGAAGAACAACATTCTTCACCTGAAGACGGCTGCTTGCGTTGTAGCCGAAACGTCGTGAGAATTATTTTATTTTATTATGTTTTATTTTTATTATTTTATTACTTCCCTTCTACGTGACTTTACCGAAAGAACCAAGAAGAGGAAGGCGATCGTCGATTGTTCCGTCTCGACGTGCGAATCGTGGAAAAAACAAGGCTGACGTTGGAAACGAAGACAATGTTCCACTTTGGGCTTGAAAACAAGAAACATCTGTTACAGCTTTGTTTGAAGTTTTTCTGTTTGAACAAATGTGAAGCCAGCTGTGTTTAATTAATAGAGATCGCGTCTGGCAAAGCGTTGCAACACCCTACCAGGGTTTATCGCGCAGAAAGGTTCAATAACATTGTTTACTTTTCTCTTGTTTATGTCGTCTGGGGCAATGCCTCTTTTCTTCTGTGCGTGATGGAGGGCTAAGGATTTGAATAACAAAGTTGTGACTCTCAATTCATAATTTTCTTTCAGGCTGACAGGGCAAGGTCAGTTGGAGCCTCTGTTTATGCCGTTGGCGTAAAAGATTTTAAGTATGAACAGGTAAATAATTTCTATTGTTGATATTATTATCTATATCTTGTTGTGTAACACACACACACACATGCATGTTGTCTTTGAGAACTAATTTATTTCATTACACTTGATAATTTACTACTATAACGACCCATTAATGTCTGTGTGTCCCGCGCGTGACGTCACTCCACATGAGGCCAACACCCACAGGTGACGTCCTCCAAATGGACACCCCTCCCCCCCTCCAATAATAATAATTAGCAGATGACGTCACTCCACATGGGGGGGGGGGCGAGGCGCCTCCTCCCCCCTCCTCGGCGTCAACTTACAACCCTCACTGCCAAGGCAGAACCCTCACGTCACGCGATCTCCGCTATTGAGACATATAAGTAAAAAGGACTTCATCATGAACTAGGGTTTATAACCTTTCAATGAAACAAGTCAGTGTCACCGCGGCCTTACAAATTAAACACGAATGGATGCAATGAATATCACGTCGCGGTCTGCTTTTCGTTTGCAAGTTTCAGATTTACTGCAATAGACCCGTCCTGGGAAGGGCAAAAGGCTCGTGTATAAATATTATTAAAGTCACTGGTCTTGTTATTAAAGAGTATTTTTTTTTCTTTCATTTTAATATACTGCATAGCCATTAGTGACGAGTGATATCTGAACCAGGCCTGGGCCCCTACCCTTCACAAATACGCAATTAATGAGTTGGTGAAGTATGGTTAAACCACCTTGACCGACAGGGAGGCCTTCATCCAGCAGTGGATTTAAAAAATTCGTTTTGTTTTCTTCATAATTTATCATTTGGAGGCCCTCCCACCTGCATAGGCAGCAGTGAGATCTACACAACCAGGAGGGAAGAAAAAAAGTCGAAATATATTTTCTTTTTAAAACCCCCAACAAAACTATCACACAATGAAACGCATTTCTACAAAACGCTGTCGCGTACAGAATACCACTCCTCCACGCGCATCGCCCCTGTCATTGATAACGAACACTCTACCCTTTGCCTCCTTGCGCGCTCCGAGCATGCGAGCACCTCGATTCAAGTTTTAACACCTACGCCCCCCCCACCCCCATCTGTCACAGCTCGCCGTGATCGCAGACAGCAAGGAACATGTGTTTCCAGTCAACGGGGGCTTCAGCGCCCTGCGAAACATCATCAACTCCGTGAGTGCCTCTCTGCGCTCTCGCGAGACGTGCGAGCGTGCGCCGTCGACGCTACGAGACCGACATCTGTCAGCGAGCGACCGTGCGGCTCTCTGAAGGGGAGCGGTGGTGGAGCGGTTAGCGGCACCGAGTTCCATTCCCGCTCGTGGCCAAGACCGGCGACGATTATCTGAATCAGTCCTGGGCCTCCCCTAGGTCGACTCAGCCTTGAACGAGTACCCGGTGCGGTGTGTAAAATGTCACCTGATAGGGAGACAAAGGCGGCTGGGCGTGGTGCTGGACCCCCACCTCCCCCCCCCCCCCCCCCCGGTGGATCTTTGCCATTGTCTCCCTAAGGTTACGGAGAGGCCCGAATTGCAATAGTTCACCGGGAGCCGTAGAGCGACGGTGATTTAGCGGCCTGTGCACGTGGCCGTGTTGCGAGAGGCACGGGCAACTCTCTCCGATGAACGCTCGAAATCCAATCTGTCAGAGTGACACACGAATAGAACACACAGCAGAACGCGCACGCCCCGGAAAGCCATTGACAGTGGGCCGAGATCAAAATGACGGGATAGAGAGGTAGACGGTGTGCATTTGGAAGCCTCGACTTGGCAACGAAAGGCAACATACCAATGCACGTAAACAGGGAAGGTTTTTAATCAGTCTGTGTCGCCACCTTTTTTTGTTACGCGTGGATCAGAAGCACGGGCGCTTACAATTAAACCACGCCTGGACCTAAAATGAGTGACAGCGAGAGGAAGACCTGGATGAGAAAACGTGCTCAGGTTTTAGGGACGTAACGTTGCTCAAGAAAGTGGGCTTGGCTGGGCAGGACGAGTGAATGGCAATGGCCGTTGGGTCGAGGCTAACAATGGAGCGCGAGTCGAAGGTTGGGAACGCGCCCGACAGGAATTGGCCTCCGCAGAGGTGGAGCCGCGGAATCCGCTCACGTGGAGGCGCTCAACGTATCGTTGCATCGCGATGGACATGAGAGATGGTGACGGCTGGGTGGGGGGTGGGGGAGGCCTTCATCCAGCAGTGGATGGGTCATGCTTCGATTTGCTGCTGCTGATGATGATGATGATGTTAAAATGGGGATCTTAAATGGATTCACATATTTATACACGAAGACATTTGTGTACGCACCTGAGCCTTGTTTTCACCGGCTCTGCTGTGGCAGTTTTGTTTTAAATTCACAGGCAGTCTCCCGGCTTACGACGGTCCGATGCGCAATTGCTACGTTTACATAGCACATCAGCCAGTGATGTCGCCACCGTTTCTTCTGTCTATGGGGAAATCGGAGTCCGATTTTCGACGACGGGGTTTCCGGGAACGCATTGCGACGTCGTAAAAGTGGCGACCGCCTGTGTATATCTATAACTAAAAGCTACTGTTTTTGCTTGACCAGGTAAGGCCTACTGATCGAAATAGCTCTTTTTGCAAATGATAGCTCAACAAAGTGGCTTATCAAGTGGAAATGTATAGCAGCCAAATACTTGAAACACACGTTTCTGACTATGGTGGGAAAAACCAGAGGACCAGGAAAAAAATCCACGCGACCGCGGGGAGAATATACAAACTCCAAATATACAGCAGCAGCAGGCGTCAGGGTCGGGATGGAACCCACCACCTTCTGTATACCAGGCGAGGTAGTTAACATCTCCTAGCCACCGTGGCGATAGATACATATATATACCCCCGAGAAATGTGGTGTCCTTTTAAATTTACATTGGGTATCTCGGTGCGATTGTTCTATGAAAAGTGAGTGAATTAAAGCAAAGCAAGTAGCTAAATGAATGTGCACTCGGGTAGATAAATGGATCAACATGCCGCGTGTGCCTGTCAGCGTGCGCTGATTAAAGGGGGAAGCCACGAGTGGTGATCAAGCTGGTGTTTTTGCAACAAAGCAGGCTAATGCTGAATAGAGCTCACGCGCATACATTCCGAAGCTTACTTCTCAGAATGATTTTACATTCGTGGAAAATAAAGTGCAGGGCCTAAATTAAGGTGCCCTGGAGAGACATTCGCAGAATTGTGGCTCGATTTATTTAAAGTTACTCAAACGAGACGGGCTTTGAGGGAATGTTTATAGAATTGGGAAATTAATGCAACGTAAAAAAAAAATTACAGCCAGTACATTTGTAAGCTTGTTTTTATGCACACAGGGCCTTTACTTGTTTAAAAGAAAAACAGTCTCCGAGGTTTAGCACAAAAATGATATACATTATATTTGTTCAGCACGCACGGTAGGCTACGTACGTTTCGACATACGTACATGACATACAAACTAGAGTAAAAGCAAAATCAGCTTTGTAAAAGTGCAAGAAATGTTTTTCTATTTATTTTTTTGTTGTTGCAAAATATCCTCGTGCAGATGTATATGATGCTGCTTCGTCGGTTGTTGTTGTTGTGTGGCCGCTCTGCTGTTGGGGTCGTGCCGGAGTTGGCGCGACGTTTGACAACGACATCACTGATCGTTTTGCTTCACCACGATCTGGGGGGCCAACGGGCGGGCGGAGGGGGGGGGCTAACTTCCCTTTTCCAAGCACATCTTCATGGAAGTGCATTTTCCAGTCGAGTTCAGTTCCCGAAGCGGCTGCCACCGGCTCGTGTGGCAGCGAAACGTCGGACGTCACGTCGGAGAGAGGGAGATAGAGAGATTTGAGTGTGCGCCAGAGGTCGCAAACGGGTTTTGATTCCTTACCCGTACCCGGCCGCACCAGGGTCGCAATCGGGTACCCGTACCCGGCCGTACCCGTACCCTACCCGTACCCGGCCGGGTTAGCACAAAAAATGATACGGGTAGGGTACGGGTATCGGGTACCCGATTGCGACCTCTGGGATTAAGCCATGTTGCAGGCGTGGGCGGGTTGATTCTAGGAACTTGAATTGTGAGAAGAGACAAGACGTTGGGAAATGAGTGACTAACAGTTACTCACCAGTGACTCACGGCCTACCCGTTAACCGTACCCGGCCGCACCAGGGTCGCAAACGGGTACCCGTAACCGTACCCAGCCGGGTATGGGTAGCCGGGTATCGGGTAGGGTACGGGTATCGGGTACCCGGTTGCTACCTCTGGTGTGCGCTGTGAAAGGGGAGGGGGGGTTGGCAAGCGGGTGGGGAGGGGGGGGCTCCGTTGACTCCCTACATAAATTATGTAAACAGCTTTTACCCACGCACGGTGAGAAGCGCTCGCCTCCCAAATCGTAAACGGCCGACGGCGCAGAAATTGCAGCGCTCGGATGTCCGCCGTGCCCCCCCTTTCCTCCCTCCCTCCCCGCCGCGAATCCGTGACACGCTCACCCACGCGTGTGATGGTGCTCTGTACCCCCCCCACCCCCCCACCCCCTTTAGATCCTGAAGAAGTCATGCACCGGGATCACATCCGTCGACCCGTCGAGCATCTGCATCGGAGGTACGTGTGCTCGCCCCCCCCCGCCCCCCCCACCCCCCCCCCCGGCCCCCCTCCCCCGGCCGCCGTGTGTGCGTCCACGCCAACGTCGCTCTTTAACGTCACTGGAAATGGAACGGAGCAAACGCCGCCCGATGCAATTTGAAGGGCTTGTCCTACTCACCCCCCCCTCCCCCACTTGCAAAGCCCTCACCACCGCAACAATGCTCTGAACTCGTTTCTGCTGCTGCAACCCGGCTGCTGCTGCAACCCAGCTGCGTTCGTTGTTGTCGGTGTTGATTTTTTTTTAGAAACTTGCAAAGGTGCCTCAGCCTGGCTGCACGAGCCTAGGTCAGGGGATCGGCGTCATCAATGAACCACCGTCCTTGTATTCACCAACACAGCGCAATGTGGCTCTTGAAATATTGAGGGCTTTTTTAAATTCTTGAAATATTGAGGGTTTTTTTGTTTGACCGATTTAAAAAAAAATGGCTCTTCTTGTTATTTTAATTGCTGACCCCTGGCCTAGGCCATTAATGCCGGACCTTAAGAATGCTATTTGTGTCTTAGTCTCGCTCTATGAGCCTCGGAAATAAACACTGAACCTCCTACAAGTCTTGTTGCTCTATCCTTGGGCTGTGCTGCACCGTCGCTTTCTCCGCTCTCCAATGATTTCCTTCTCCAAATCCCCCCTCCCTCCACCTCCCACCCTTCCCACCCATACCGGCGTGTGTTTTTTCCTCGATTGTTGTAAAGTCTCTTGAGATGCAACGGCATTTAGGCGATTTATAAATCGAAACTGTCGTTGCTATTTCACGAGATGTCGTTTTACTTGGACTGTGTGGAACTGAGAAATGTCACCAACGTGTCACGGTTGATTGTTGGCTTTGAGATAAAGTTAAATATAAAATAACGACAATACAATCGTTATTGCATTCGAAGTATATACTACGGACGCATATTCCTAAGCATCAGGTCAATCAACATTTAAGAAAAATCTACGAATTTATAACGGCTCTTTAGTTTTTCATTTAAACATACCAATGGAGTCAGCTACAGACACAAACCTCGAGGTAGGAAAGGAGACAGCACGACCTCCCATTATGTAGAGAATGATAGGAAGATGAGAGAGGCCGTGTATTTATGACCTGTCAGAGTAAGCGTAGGGAGAGGTGAGGTCAGAGAGGTAGGTAGGATAACTAATGTAACTGAATAAAATCAAGTCAAATTACGATAAGCAAGCAGCAACTGCATGAAATACATTTCATGGCTGTGCATCGTCCTTTGTCAATCCTCTGCTGGATGAAGGCCTCGCCCGTGCTGTGTCAGTCATGTGGGTTGTTTGACCATACTTCACCATTCTGGTCAGTGCGGGTTGGTAAAGACGGGCAGGCATAGGGCCGGTTCAGGTATCACTCGCTACTCACGTTGTCCGCGGCCCGGGAACCGAACCGAGGAAATCAGGTCACCCCCGGTTCATATCGCAGTGCGCTAACCACTGTGCCACCACTCCCGCACCGCTGCTGTATTATCACAAATTTGCAAGAAAAACAAAAATACCAGTCAGGTCGTACAGTTCATTGGTCTCTCGCAGCATTGAGTGAGATCCTCTGCGTTGGAGAAGACGCTCTGATCCTCGGCCAGCTTAGCTGGCCACACCGGCCTGGCGGCTGGGGGTGGCGCGCGACAAAGCAGCGAGTGGGTGCGCGACGGAGGTCAAACCACCGCGGCAAGCGAGTTCCTCACCGACCCCCGCGCCGCCATCCTCGATTCGGACTGGCCCCTCGCCACGCGGCGGGGCGACGACGCAGGGCCTTGCGCGAGGAAGCGACGGCGATAGACGGGAAAGACGGCGGGTCGCGCTGCGCTGTCTGTCCCCCGCCCCCCCAGCCTCAAGCGAGGAAATAAAATAGAACAAATAAATCGGCTAACTTCCCAACGTCGGCGAGCTCGAGTGCGATTAGCAGCGTAAAAGCGTGCCTAACGACGAAAAGGCCAAATATGTTGTCACTAGCAGGCAGCGTGCGACGACAAGCATTTTGGCAGTGTGTGCTCAAATAATGAGTGGGTGATATTAAAGTGAAATGATCATTTTGGAGTCATCGCACCTATAATTATTATTCAGGCTATAATTGGACCCAATTTGTCCTCTGATGTGCTTATTACAGTGGGTGTCAAAATCTCGACGCGTGTGCGTGTACATTTCCCGTGCTGTGGCCCGGGGAAGGGGGGGGGGCCTTCCGAATTGGCTGGGACTGTCTTGTCTAACGGACTCATTCTCCCCGAAAGTCATTAAACCCACACCGTATATCCATATTTAAATTGACACAATAAAGCAATCATGCTCGACTGACGACCGTAAAGCAGGCCCGGTTTGGCACAATGTAAGGTATTAATATTGTGTCCGGGGTGATCAGTTAGTGTTACATATCAAGCCGACGCGAATAAATGTATTAATTTCACAGCTCAGTAATCAGCGCTTCATTTTCCTCCCAAGACTATAGCCAATTCAAATGAGGGTTCAAGGTCGATACAAACATTACGGCGAGGTGCACGGCTCCGGCGAGTCGCGGCCTGCTCCGAGAACACTCGGGGAGGGCACTGGCCCCGGTCTTGCGTTGTGCCCGTGGCCCCGATTTAGCCGAGCCACCGGATATGCTTTGTGATTTATCGCGCGAGCGGTCCCCAGACCGCAAACCCCCGATCGCTCCGCGCGCACAGCTCGCTCGGTCATCTTCTCACGTCCAGTAAATACCTCTCCCTGGCAGCGCGCGTTCCTGCGAGCGATCCGCCGTGCGGCCACACATATTGCGGTGTCTTGTTTGTTTTGCGTTTGACCGATGATTGTAGCAGTAATAGCGGGCAAGTGTATGTGTCAATTGAGTGTTGCTATTGAAATGCAACATTTGTAGCAACAACACAAAATGTATGGTGTGATGTCAAAATAATGTAATAGTGCTGATATCTAAAAAAAAAATCATAATTTTTTTACAATATAAAATGCATTTTTTTTTTTTTTACTAATAATTTTGATATACTGTGAAACATAATTAAAGCTCGCCCTCCCACTATGTCGGTGCTGCTCATGAGTACCTATTCATTCGTTTGCTAATAATCGACAACACATTAATCACGAGCTTAACCATTATTATTTTGTATGTAAACATCTGTGAACATATTGACACTGGCACATATTGGAGAGAAACTCTTCACATTTCTCAGTTTTGTTTTGCAGCATTATTTAAGAGTTTCATACCATATCCCAACCCTGCTTGTTAAACACTTGGGTTGTTTTTTCCCCCCCATCCAGAATTCACACTGGCCACATGTAAATAAATACATAAATAATGGATATTGAAATGTGTTATAGGTGAATGCTAGTTTTTTTTTACATTTATTCCAAGAGGCAGAGGTCGCTGTATGGATCGCACCAACACTGCCAGGATGTGTTTGACGGTTTTGACTTCAACACAGCAGCAGTTTCGTCAATTATTTGATCCATGTCCATTTGTGGAAGGTGGACACGCATATCCGATCTTGCGTCAGTTACTGACCAGTTATGATAGTGGTGGGATAAATCGTGGGTACCATCACATCTTCATGATAGCGTCTGAGAGATGGATAATCGCCCCTTCAAATTACAGGCCCCTTTCAATAATGCGGGCACTGGAACCCTGTACGTGTTTCTGAGCTTTAGACGAGCAAAGATGCATCAGTTCGTCGGATGCAATCATTCTTTGCGCATAATGCCTCACATCGAATTGTTAATGTGAGAATCAATTATTTACGTGAGAATTGATTATTTTAAGTGCGTGCACGTGGTGTGCAATTGAGATCCCGTTACTTTTTTAGGCTAATGTGCCTAAGAGACAAAACGAAATGAAACCAATGTGACTGCAAAAAAAGACGACTGAAAAATAATTGATTCTTCGGTAGAATCTTGACCCAAAATTGTGACAAATGGAATCACTGGGATGGTGAATCGTGCCATGTCTGCTTGTGTTTATGCTTGAAGCACTTGCCAATAACATCTGGTAACCCAGCAGCATTTGTTTAAGAAAGTCTGGCTCCACTGATGAGACGCAGGAGGTCGAAATCGGTCCAGAAAATTTGGTTGTTTAAGCAAATGCTGCCGGATAATGCTGGTCTGCAAAAGCCAATTGGGTGATGAACTAAAACACGTAATTTTTTTTTATATCGAGGCACCAAATCTCAGGATTTGTAAAGAAAAATGCAAATGGCTCGTTTTCCCTGACCCCATGACGAATTCAAACTTCCACCCCTCGGGGCCCGAGTTCAGAATCAAAATGATTTATTTTTCTGAGCAGCCACACACTATTCATGGTTGATCTCTGAATCACATGACCACCTCGTAAGGGTATCCTTAAAGTGAATGTGGGTTTGGCTCCTTTTTTCCCAGATTGTGATCCGGCCGTGAAATGTCAACACGTGTACCCGTATCAGCCGTGTACGGTGCGGTCACAAGCGTTTATAAGTTCCCGGGTGTAAAGATTCGCCCCCTTGGGGTTCATTGAGTCGTCACAATTTAGGGCCGCGATTCCATTTCAAAATGGATTATCATTTTATTTTACATTGTGGGTGAAATTACTAGCCCCTATTGGCTGGAAGGCATCACATTAGCTAATAGCTGCATGGATCGAAAAACACCGATTCGTACACACATGAGGGCACGCATTTGTAGCTTAAGTGTTGGTAAAAGCCCATGAATCAATGCATTATAGCCCTTATAAGCACAATCTCATGGAATTTAAATCACTCCTGAATGGAGTAATTTGTGCAACGAAGAGGGGGGGGGGGGGTCCATTTCCCAAAAACATTGCTTTGCATATACTTCCCTTTTAAGGCAGTGTTCTTAACAAATGTGTCCAGTTCTTTCTTGATATGATTTGTGTTATTGGGCACCGCTGCAAAGGGAGCAGCAACAGCATCGCCGAGTCGTTTGTTGACTATAATCGGCAAGATATCCAAGTGTAGGTCGTACGGAGCTTCCTGGAAAAAAGACTTGAGACTTTGTAGCTTTCCTGGATAAATAATGGATATTATTCTTCGTACTGTTATTATTTTAATCATTCTTATTTAAGTAATTGTAAAAAGTGTGAGCTCTTAGAATTGAATAATATTTTACATCATTCTTCGGTGTTAATGATTTCGAAAGATGTAGTGGTGTGTTCCTTCCACAGTACATGTGACACGTATTTAATAAACAGCTTCTAGAATACAACAAAGTGTAGACACATGCACGATGGCGCAAAATCTTTACAGTGAATAATTGCACGTCTGCATTTATACATTCATGGGAGGGGGGGGGGGAAATAACAATGCAAAAATAATGCTCTCCCAACCCTTGGGGTGAGATATAAGTTGGTCAGCCTCATCATGGACTACTGGAGGTTACGTGAAACCAGATAGAGGTTGACAAACTGCATTGATTGCAAATAAATCGTACATATAGTGTAAGCTGTGTCAGTCTAAACTGCAAAGTATTTTAACAATCCAATGCATATCATAATCATCATCATCACTAAACATCACGACCTTTATTACTCGTCCCAAATTTAGATGTTCCTGTGTTGATTATGATTAGTCATCATCATCATCATCAATAACCATGATCGATCCGCTGCTGGATGAAATCCCCCTCAAGCCATCACCATCTGCGACAATCTTGCGATGCGATAATCTCACGGAGCATGTACACACACACAAAGCCGATTTTAATTGCTCCATCTCCTCAGTGGATATTACCCTCAGAATCCGTTTATTTTTGTAACATCTCAATGACGTATCATCTCAGCAATTCAGATTGAGTGATAGATCACAGTGATCCCTCGTTTATCGCGGTTAATGGGGACCGGAACCCCTCGCGATAGATGAAAATCCGCGAAGTAGGATTGGCCCCCTAGGAATTTCCGTATATGTGTGTGTGGGTACCAGAATGTTTAAAATATGTATATTTATACTTTATATATATATTTTTCTTAAATCTATTTAATTATAAAACCTTAATATTATACATTCACTCTCTCTCTCCCTCATACGATACGTATTATGGTGTTCTACACTCACCAATGACAGTAGTATCTTGAGACTTGACTCAAGTAATGACGACGATGATAATGACGATGACAATGACGATGACAATGACGACGATGACAGACCTGTGCAGTTCGATGAATGTGATGATGAATGATGATGATGATGGTGTTACTGCACAGGTATAATGAGGCCTTTAAATCAGTTCGAAAAATCCGCGATGCACTGAGGCCGCGAAACTTGAACCGCGAAGTCGCGAGGGATTACTGTATTATAATATATAGGCATGCAGATGATCATACATATACATACACGGTGGCGTGTTATACATATACATACACTGTGGTGTTTCATTTCATTCCCTGACATAACCTGCGTTGAAAAACATGTAACCCTATCTCCATTCCGCTAATAAGTACGCTTTAAATTTCGATTTAAAGCTTTCGTGACTGCAGGGATTCATCTTCTTGGTTCTTTCGGTAAAGTCAAGTAGAAGGGAAATAATAAAATTATAGAAATAAAACATAATAAAATAATTCTGACGACGTTTCGGCTACAACGCTAGCAGCCGTCCTCAGGTGTAGCGGAAACGTCGTGAGAATTATTTTATTATGTTTTATTATTATTTTATTATTTCCCTTCTACGTGACTTTACCGAAAGAACCAAGAAAAAGTACGCTTTAGCAACATGTTTTGTTTTTATGTCTAAAATATGTCAATGACATATTAGACATTTCACAACGTTTGTTAAACACGTGCGCGAGGAAACGGCACTGCCCCGCCGTGGACTCCGAAAACGACCTCCCGTGTGAGTCGGTGCCGCTCCCTCGAGCCTCCTCAATCGCTGCGCCCACAACTCCTCAATCGCTGCGCCCACAACTCCTCAATCGCTGCGCCCACAACTCCTCAATCGCTGCGCCCACAACTCCAGCCGTCTGCTGGACTATTGCAGGAGGTGGCTCGTGTTGGCTTTATTTCGCTCCACGCCTCATCCCCCCCCCTCCCGCCCGCCCCCAGAGTGCATCCTATCTTATCAAATTTGCTAAGTCGAGCAGGGGTTGAGCCTGGTTTAGTCATTGCATGGAAGACTGCCTTGGATCTCGATTGTTGAAGTAATGTTGAATATTGAAGTGTCGCTCCTCTTGCGAACGAGTCACGGGTACTCTCTGGGGTCCCCTGGTCGCCTCACGCGTGCGAGGAATTGGCACAAACAAGCCAGGGGTGGCAGGCTGCTCACGACAAGATTCACGACACTCGATCGACGGGGTGTTTTTCGAAAGAGAAAAATAAAAGACTGAAGACCGCCCGATGCGGTTTCGAGTTGCGCCGCGCCGCGTGCTGTCGTTCGGTATGATGTCCAGGGAGCCCCTGCAGGAGAAGCTAAACAGCACATTAGCACAACCGCCAGAATCTACGCAACTTATACAACGCTCGCAATCATTGCAATTGGCAGCTGCCGTCGTGCAAAGGTTGGCACACTGGACTTGCAATCCGGAGGTCGCCGGTTCAACTCCACGTCCAGCGAGCGGCAGTTGAAACAACGGGACACGCATCTTCTCACATCGCCCGCACCTCCGACCACCGCAGGCGAGGCGGTTGGCAGGTCGCGCGCGGCGGAACGAAGCGCGGCTCACGCCGATCTCTTCCAAACGCCGACCGGTCCACGTTGAAGGGGCCGATCGATTCCCGTAACCACCAACCCCCCCCCCCCCCCGAGTTCACGTCAGCTGGGAGGCCCTTGCGTCCTGGCCGCCAGCAGTGGCGACTGCAGGCCCGGCGCACGCGTCTTTGATCTTCGACCGCGGCAATGAACGTCGCCCGCCGTGTGTCACGTTCCCGCAGAGGAGTACGACGTCGTGATCCAGGGCAACGGCTTCACGCGCGCGCGGGCCGGGGAGAACACGCAGTGCATCTTCCAGATCAACGACACCACGTCCATCAGTGAGTAATATCCCCTTCCCCCCCACTACTGCACCACAGTGCTTTTTTATATGTATTTACACGCTTGCTGAGTACAGGCCTAAAGGCCCAACAACAAACAACATGGTCGCAAAGTGGCAATACATAAAATAAAACTAAACTGATTTCAGAAGCGAACCTGGCCACAAATGATAGCTCAACGAAGTGGCTTATCACGTGAACATTTCTCGCAGCCAAATACTGTAAACGCGCGATGTTTATTCTCAATGTGGATGGGAAACTCCAGGAAAGCCGGAGAAAAATCCATGCGACCACGGAGAGAGAGACATGCACAAACTCCAAATATACAGCAGGCGTCAGGTTCGGGATCGGACCCACGACCTCCTGTATACCAGGCAAGGGAGTTAACATCTCCTGGCCACCGCGGCTGTAAGAACTTGTAGGGAAAAGAGACAATGGGAGGGAATTTCAAAGTGAAGCAGTGCAAGGGAATAAGCAGACAGAGAAGCATTTGTTGTGGCCTGCGGTGTGGTGGTGGTGGTGGGCGCTTGAACACGGTATGGATAAGATGAAACAGAAGATGAACTAAAAAAATTTAGCAGTCTTTTAAAATACGTGGTCAACCAGGTTAGTGTCTGTGTTGTTGGCCGACTGGTTTTGCATCACGTGATGTTTCTAAGGTTTGTTGAGTTCTCGTCTCCCATCTTCTTGCTGTATTTGCCTCCATGCAGTTTGCCGATCTCTGTGTGCTATGCACGTGGTGTCCCCCTGTGTGTTCCCTCGCTATGTGTTTTACCCCATTTCCACCTGACGATGAGCGCTTGTGTTGCGTTCGAAACGTCGTGATTTATTTTTATTAAATTTTATTTATTAAATTTGTATTTTATTTCTACATACGTGACTTTACCGAAAAAAACAAATGAGTATAATTCCTGCAGTCACGAAAGCTTCAATTCTAGATTGAGATGAAACGGTCAGTGTCTCAGACACCGAGCCCTCAACGTGGGTGGAGGAATCGATGTGTCCGTGTGAAGTTCACGGGAGCAGTGACCCACGGTAGTAGCTATAGAAGAGCGATAAGGAGGCGGTCGGCGCGTCTTGGTGAAGTAGGTGGGCACGGGAGCAGTGCAGGTATCACTGGTCATCGACGTCAGCCATGCATGGACTGCATGTTGAACTTCTTTCGCACAGTACGTAGCCAACCGTGCCAATCAGAGGTGCAGGTAAAACTGCATAGCTCCAGTAGCTTCCTAACAGCGGAAGGATTCGCGTTCCGGACGGCTGCAGGATGCACGTCTGAGAGCGCCGTGCGATGCGGTGGCCGCCTTTGTTCGACGGGTATCAAAAAGCCGCCGCTGCTGCTGCTGCTGCTGCGATGGGCAGAGTGTCACGTGATGGTGGATTATGCTACTTGACGAGATCGGCATGTTTCGATTTAAAGCTATCGTGACTGCAGGGATTCATCTTCTTGGTTCTTTCGGTAAAGTCACGTAGAAGGGAAGTAATAAAATAATAATGTGTTTTATTTTTATTATTTTATTACTTCCCTTCTACGTGACTTTACGAAAGAACCAAGAAGATGAGATCAGCATGGTGTTGTGGTTCATTTGTGGCAAGCGCTTTTGTGTGTCGTTTGAGCCATGGCCAGGACTGACATTCATATCATTGGGTCCAAAATGCAGAAACACACTGTGCAACAACTCCACTCAGTATATACTGTACGCATTCATGGAAGAAAAACATTGGATGCTTCATGGATACAAGGGTCAACTCCAGCGGATGTCAATACGTGCCGTAATAGAAAGTAATTTAATTATGGAACGCTCACAGCATTGCCTAAGTGCATTATAAACTTACATTGATTCCATTATTCGGGAGCCTGTGAGCGGCTTCTGCACAGAACTATCAAGTCTTTCTCCCATTGCCCATTCATTTAGCTTCTGAGGTTAAAGAGATTGGGCAAAACCACAGGGTAAAACCATTCGCTACTCCGCTTACCAGGGAGGTGAAATGCAATACAGTATACGATACAAAACGCTTGTATAAACTGCTCTTCACACACAGCATTCCAGGGAGCTTCACAATAATAATAAGATAAACTCAAAAACACAATGCCATGCAAATCCTACTATTTTATAATTACAATATGATTTAACCAACAACACCCGTTCCCCCCCTAATTGCCAATTGAACCTTCCCAGAGGCAATAATAGATGTGCTCTTGTAAACATGCAGCAGAACAAGTGTTCCATTCGTTGCAGAAGTTGCTATTTTAAAACCCGATCTCAATGGCTCACTGTTGCCTCTGTGTCACATTTTTTGGGAAACTAGCCATCGGTCTGAGATAATAACATTCCTCAGCATGCAACTGGTTTCGTGGCAATGTTCCACATATAAATAACATGTCCCAGTAGTGGTCTTATAGAGTTTCACTAACAGTACATATTTTATGTGTTGTATCTACGAGTCTAAATTGTTCTAAACGATTAAGTGTTTCACCGACCTGCGTCGACCAGCGTGGTGAAGTATGTTGAAAAAAATCCTTGCATGTGCACACGCAGCAATGGGGAGGAGACCCTCATCCAACAATAGTTTGGCAAAGGTGCGCACATTATCGAAAATAATTTTTAGAACGTGATAAAAAAATGTTTTAGATATAATTGGGTAAAAAAGATTGTGATGGGTGGGGACGTTCATGTACAGCATGGAGAAGGGCAGGTTACATACGGAGTTACGTAGATGGCGAGATGTTAACTGCCTCGCCTGGTATACAGGAGGTCGTGGGTTCATTCCCGACCCTGACGCCTGCTGCTGTATATTTGAAGTTTGTATGTCTCTCTCTCTCTCATCATAACCACGGTGGCTAGGAGATGTTAACTACCTCGCCTGGTATGCAGGAGGTCGTGAGTTCGATCCCGACCCTGACGCCTGCTGCTGTATATTTGGAATTTGTCTATTTTGATCATCGTCACGGTGGCTAGATGTTAACTACCTCGCCTGGTATGCAGGAGGTCGTGGGTTCGATCGCACCCTGACGCCTGCTGCTGTATATTTGGAGCTTGTGTGTCTCTCTCATCATCATCACGGTGGCTAGGAGATGTTAACTACCTCGCCTGGTATGCAGGAGGTCGTGGGTTCGATCCCGACCCTGACGCCTGCTGCTGTATATTTGGAGTTTGTGTGTCTCTCTCTCTCATCATAACCACGGTGGCTATGAGATGTTAACTACCTCGCCTGGTATGCAGGAGGTCGTGGGTTCGATCCCGACCCTGACGCCTGCTGTATATTTGAAGTTTGCATGTTCTGCTCATGGTCACGTGCATCTTTCTCCGGGTCTTATTGTTTTTCCCTCCGCATTTAGAATCAACGTGCGTTTCTCGTATTTGCTTGCTATAAATGCCCACATGATAAGCCACTTTGTTGAGCTATCAATTGTGGCCAGGTCACTTCTGAAAACGAGCTATATCGCTCCGGGGGCCTTACCCGCTAAAATGTAATAGTTTATTTTATAGCAGTAGCTTAGAGCTAATATACAGGCATTGGCAACCAAAGGGAACACTTAAACCCAGAGAGTTCTTGAAATGTGGATGCCGAGTTTTACAGCAGCTACGGGATGTAGTGGAAGGTGGCCATCAAGCGACATTGCCCATTATGACCCAACAACCTTGACTAACTGGACACTCGCATGAGGGCTTCCTTGCAATTTCTGTCACATGAGACCGTTGCTGCACATCGACCACAGACAAAGCTATGGGGTGTGCAGGCGGTTCAACTGTACCGGGGTCCACAGGCCGGAGGGGCTCAGATGCTGGGCTGTAAACCGTGAGGAAAATTTGATTCGGGGGCCTTCATTTCATCTCTTGCACCAGGGCCCATGCCTGCCAACCACATCGCGTCACTGACCACAGGCATGGCTTTGAACGTCAGAATTGGCTCTATGTTCGCTTTGTGGGCCGATATGGCGTAGTCAGCTGCATGCAATTCTGAACCGACGGACCTAGAGTGTCGTTTTCTTTTTACTTTACACAACACCTTTGGTCAGACTGTGTATGTGAAGCGTCTTTAATCGCCTGGCCTCTTTGTGTGCAACCTGCAAACCCGCAATAGACGAGTCAAGCAGACGCATGGCGGGCACAAATGCACCCTGCCTTCCCGCCGGAATAACTCGCTCGCTGTGCCATCGCGTGCCATCTCGTGCCGTTACAGCGGAGAAGGCTGTGGACGTGACGGAGACGTACATGCGCTGCAGGGGACCCGTCATCTACGAGTCGGGAAAGTAAGATGCCCTCTCCTTGTTCCTACACGGCCGACGAGGGGTGCACGCAACACGTGGCCTATTCATTATGGGAGGCTGTTCCTTCTCCTCTGCTGTGTCCCCGTTGGAAATGGCTTGTTCATCTTCTTGGTTCTTTCGGTAAAGTCACGTAGAAGGGAAGTAATAAAATAATAAAAATTAAACATAATAAAATAATATAATAAAATAATATAATATAATTTAATTATATATTTTTTTACTTCCCTTCTACGTGACTTTACCGAAAGAACCAAGAAGATGAATCCCTGCAGTCACGAAAGCTTTAAATCGAAATTTAATGGCTTGTTCGCTTGCCACACGTATTTCCTGCAATTTTCCCCGTAGATAAATAGCAGTATATTCTTAGGTATTTTCGGTAAAGTCACGTAGGTAAAAAAATTTAATTAATAAAAGTAAAATAAAAATTTAATAAAAATCACGACGTTTCGGAGGCAACACAAGCAAGGATAAATAGCAGTTTTATCTGTAAAATATATTTATATGCATTTTAAATGTCGACTGGCTCAGGCGGTTAATGCTGTCACAGCACTGAGCCAGCCTCTCTGGGACCTGGGTTCCAATCCAGGTTTCAGCCACTCATGATTAAACAGCGTTAATGGTCTCATCAGATCACCAACGACTGCACTAAACAAATGATATTAAATGTGGTGTGTTGCTGAATTTGGCTTATTTCATGAAACCATACTTTGGTTTAATTGACATGGAACATTCGGTATTGCTAGGGGTCTAATAAAACAAGGTGTCCACATTATTTGTTTCAGTAGGCCTGATTTTAAAAGGCCCTCCGAAGCCGATTTGGGGCTACTCTCTGGCACAAGGTGATCGACTGCTAGCTGAAATAGTTGTGGACGATAATTATAACTTCTCTGGACATGTTATTGATTTGCCATATGGAAGATAATTGGAAGAAAAAAAACACAAAGGCATAGTTTTCAATGCCCTCCATTTCATGTCGATTCCGTCATCGACTGACACGGCTTTTGCTAATATGAGTATATATTCTTCAATTTACCCTTGTGATTTAAATCTGTTGTGACTGTAGTGTCCCGAGATATGTTCTCTCAAGTTTGTAAGATCAATAATTTCTACAGTCTTGCCAAATTTATGTACGGTCGTATCAAGGATTGTGTACAGGAGTACACGTTTTTTAACTGCAGTTGAAATGTAAGGTTTTATAAAGCCAATGCATATCCCATAAGATTATCACTGAAGACAATACAGTATTGATAAAAATTACCGGTGAATTAATAATAATCAACACGACTTATCACGCGTGCAATATTTCACAAATCGGACGCGACGTATGATCGATTCACCCCAGCTCGTGTTGAGTTCTTTGCCTACTGGAACGACCGTACAGTCGACTCGCATCGTGTCAAAACTGTAGGGAAGATTACAGTGCTCGTAAGCGCCAAAACCTCCTTATCGGGAGCGCCGTGCGCGCGTTTGTCGCTGACTTGGATGGAGATCGGTAGCGTCAGCCCAGCATCTGGTACCGCGACTCTGAGCCAAGCTTCCCTGGCGGTAACTCACAGCGGAATCCACTCTGTGGGCTCCATCGGTTTTAACAATGCACAGTAAATTACAGGCTTTTTGCTAAAAAAATAAAATTATCGCCGTTGCCGAGCGACCACGGACCCAAGCGGAAAACGCCCAGCAGCCAGCAACAAACGGCACTCTTGAAGGTGTGATAACAAATTAATGGAACTATAAAGTATTTTATTTAACCAGGTAAGGCCCCCGATTTAAAGCTTTCGTGACTGCAGGGATCCATATTCTTGGTTCTTTCGGTAAAGTCACGTAGAAGGGAAGTAATAAAATAATAAAAATAAAACATAATAAAATAATTCTCACGACGTTTCGGCCACAACGCAAGCAGCCGTCCTCAGGTGAAGAAACAGAGCTGTCGGAAAGACAGCGTCTGTTATATTTTAATTATTTTATTATTTTTCGATTTAAAGCTTTCGTGACTGCAGGGATCCATATTCTTGGTTCTTTCGGTAAAGTCACGTAGAAGGGAAATAATAAAATAATAAAAATGAAACATAATAAAATACAATTCTCACGACGTTTCGGCCACAACGCAAGCAGCCGTCCTCAGGTGAAGAAACAGACGCTGTCGGTAAGACAGCGTCTGTTTTATTTTTATTATTTTATTATTTTCCCTCTACGTGACTTTACCGAAAGAACCAAGAATACAGGTCAGGCCCACTGAGCTCTACGCACACATGTGTTTGTCGAACTGCTTTCGCACTGTGTGTAGACAACCGTGCTCATCGGAGGCGCGGGGATATTTGTGTAACGACTCGACGACAAGTTATATGAAGAGCCACTTTTATTTAAGGTTTACAAAAGAAGGAACCCTACTAACGATTTCCACAAATGAGAGGATCTAGGCTTCGTCCTTGTCTTCCTGCTTGTATCTTCCTCCGAGCGTCCCCACTCCTCGTGCTCTCTCCCCTTACATCTCACTCAGCCCCTTTTCTCGAACTTTCTCGTCCTTGTTTTTACCTCTAGCCAATCCCTGGCCTTTCCCTTTAACGGATCCTTTTTGTTTTACCGTTCAAGCCCCTTATTTCTAGATTTGAAGCTTTCGTGACTACAAGGATTCATACACTTTGTTTTTTTCGGTAAAGTCACCATGTAGGTAAAAAATGAAATAAAAATTAATAAAAATAAAATAATAAAAATCACGACGTTTCGGAGGCAACACAAGTCTCCGTCATCAGGTGGGACCGTCACAGCCAGATTTGCTGCATCAGCCGTCACAGCCAGATTTGCTGCACCCTTGATGCAGCAAATCTGTCTGTGACGGTCCCACCTGATGACGGAGACTTGTGTTGCCTCCAAAACGTCGTGATTTTTATTATTTTATTTTTATTTATTTTTATTTCATTTTTTATCTACATGGAGACTTTACCGAAAGAACTAAGAGTATAGGTTTCTAGCTGTCGCGCGTTTAGGCGGAGCGTAACTTCGCAACACGAAGCCAAAAAAATTAGCCTCACGGCCCCGGGACCATTTTGCGAGTCCCTTTGTTACTGATGTAATTAACGCGCAACAGAAAAGAATGTCAATTAATCTTTAAAATAATCTTTGGGATTTCATTGGGTAGCAGTTAATTAATCTTTGGATCATTAAAAATGCTGTAACCTTAACTAACCTTGTCTGCTTGGAACAAGCGTGTAATGAATGCGTGTTTATAACATTTTGATGCCACGCTTCCTTAGCTGCTCCCTGTCTCGGCGAAATGGAAGTAATTCTTACTTTTGATTATACACTTCATTATATTTCTTACACTTGTTAGTTTCGTATATATATTTTTTTATTTCCAGACGAGTGTTTAGCCAATTTGCATTGAAGCGCCATCGTCAGCGGCTCTCATTGTGCAAGTGATAAGTGGTGGGGTAGGGGGTGGGGGGATGGAAAGTATGTTGGAAATATTCTTAAGCTCTTAACATTGCAACGAGACTAAAAAAAAGTGCTGACCGTCCACGCTTCCGCCACATTAATGCACGCTGCGTCGTCGTACTTTAATGCTCGGCCGCGAAATAAACATTTCCAAGTAAAGTCGGTTTTCTTTGGTGGGGGCAGGGACATTTTTCTTGGAACACATCGTTAACAGACTGGCAAAACAACAAGGTTATCCCAAAATCCTGTGAGCCAAGGGCAGTACCACGTGGGGTGAGCCAAGGTGGGACGCGGTCAGTACCACGTGGGGTGGCAAATGCTACCAGTATCCAGCCATTGATGGTGTCCACCTTGGTCATTGTCCACCGTGGGTAGAAATCTCAGCGTATATACCAGGGGTCGGCAACCAAAATAACAAGAAGAGCCATTTCTTTCCAATTCGGTACAAAATTCAGTATTTCAAGAGCCGCAATGCATCTGAGTACATACTGTACATACGTACATATCGTCAAGAAGCAGCCCGTAAAGAGCCGCATGCGGCTCCGGAGCCGTAGGTTGCCGACCCCTGGTATATACCGTCCGTTTTAAATACACACCTAATGTTTACTTTCTTATTCCGTAGATGACTCACGCCACAATCATTTTTATTCCCCCTCAAAAAATGATATTCTCTTTCAAACGTACTGTGGTTCCCTTCTTGAACGCAGTTTTTTTCTTGATAAAAAAAAACCCCAACTACAATTGGTGCATATTTGAAATTAAGCCAAAACACGCTATTTCAATCAAATCGTTGGGAGCACTGGCGACCCTGGGTGGTAAGCGACGAGCCATTTTGACGGCGATGGCTCAAACATCACGAACAAACAAACCAAAAAAAAACCCCCAAAAAAAACAACCCGCGTGCTTTTGGTACGATTGCGAGTGATCAGCTTGCTATAAAAACCCGCTCGGGGGAATTCGTTTGCCATCTCGAGGCGACGAGAAAAACAAAACGTTAGTGCGGACGCCGGGGGTTAACGGCTGAGCCGTGAACACGAGTGTCGCAGCTTGGCCCGGCCGCGGAGCAGATGGCGCGGGGGAGAAATGTCACCGCGCCACCGGTGGCACGGCCGCACTGTACCCGAACAGGCGCATCTCGAAGCGGAGGACAGATGGAGAGGAAATGTCGGAACAGCGACAGGAAGTCAGTTCCGCTGATCATTTTGGCTCCCGATAGAGGCACTTGGGCGCTCGCCAGCGTTACGTGACGTGCTCCGCCTGGCAGGGACCGCCGTTGCCGGCCGTGAACAGATTTTTTTGTTTTTGAAATTTGACTTCTGAGTTGCATTCGTTACCAGCTCGGTGAGACCTTCTGGGTTTCTCTGATTTGGTTTGATTGTCTGCTCCGTGGCCAGGCCAAGCTGCGACACTCGTGTTCACGGCTCAGTCGTTAACCCCCGGCGACTAACGTATTGTTTTTTCTCGTCGCCCCGATGCAACGAATTCCCCGAGCGTTTTTATAGCAAGCTGATCAATCGCAATCGCACCAAAAGCGCGGGGTTTTTTGTTTGTTTGTGATGATTGAGACATCGCCCTCAAAATGGCTCGTCGAGATCACCCAAGGTGGCCAGTGCTACAGCGTCACGATGTGCTGAAAAATAAAAATCTAAATAGACATATTTGCGAAATTCTTATTCTTATTATTCTGTGCTCTGTTTGCAAAAAGGGCTGGGAATATTTTGCTAAATGTTCATTGCAAAATCACGCAAAAAAAATGTCCTGATTTTTGTTGGGATAAGGCTGGAAACATTCTTAGAAAGTGGAGAAATGTAATCAGTGAAACAAAACATTGCATGGGCTCCAGATTGCAACATAATTGTCGGCAATTCCTTGATTGCTATGATGATCGTGAAGATTATTCTTAATCAAATTTTTGTCACCAATTTCTGAGATACAATTACAAATGTAAAAAGGCCACAGACATGAAGCAACGCAAGTGAGCTGTCGCGGGACATCTTGCAAGAAGAGATGGGTGATGCTTGGCTTGTGACGGAACGGCGGCCAAAGGAGAGAGCACCACTCACGGGATAACTCTCCCGTTGAGATGAAGCCGTAAGATCAGCTCAATGTGCAGGAGCTGCTCAATGCGTTGTGATATCATGGGGACCGTGAGGGATATTGACGGACTTGAAGCTTTTGTGACTGCAAGGATTCATACTCTTAGTTCTTTCGGTAAAGTCACGTAGGTAAAAAATGAAATTAATAAAAAAAAAATCACGACGTTTCGGAGGCAACATCAGGTGGGACCGTCACAGCCAGATTTTCTGCATCAAGGTTGATGCAGAAAAACCTTGATGCAGCAAATCTGGCTGTGACGGTCCCACCTGATGATGGAGACTTGTGTTGCCTCCGAAACGTCGTGATTTTTATTTTATTAATTTTAATTTCATTTTTTACCTACGTGACTTTACCGAAAGAACTAAGAGTATATTGACGGACGCCGGGAGGCCTTTGTCCTTTGCCTGCCACTGACGTCTTTCCCGACCACCGGCCATCAGGCGTACATACGTTCAGTCGCTCTTCAATGCGTTCAATAGAATGTCCTTATTTAATCGGTGTGTGCGTTAATCACTTTGACGTACGGAACAAAAACTGACATTGACAAAAAACAATGGAGCTAAATGTTAAAAGTGTGCAAAAGAAGCATAGGATAGGCGGGAAGAGGAAGACAATCAACTAACATACCAAAATGTTTGCGTACATCTGGGGGAAGTGAGCTTGAACTGGGGCCAGTGACGGGGACATTTGGCTGATGCTCGCATTTGTTCTGTCCTCCCAAAACACCACCACCAACCCACCCTCCCCTCTCCGCCGACTTCCACAGGACGGTTCATTTGCAGGTCAGCATCAATGAGGGGCAGTCTTTCCTGACGAGCTCCACCACCATCACTGCCGCCAAATGCGTGAGTACCGAAAAATAAAAACGACGGCGACAACGGCTGAACGTGTCGTGCGTTAAATCCACGCGCATCGCTTCAGCTCAGTAGAGAGCAGCAACAACGTCTCCGAGGACAATGTGTTTGTTTGTATTTTGTGGGCACCGCTGTGGCGAGATGTTAACTACCTCGCCAGTTATGCAGGAGGTCGCGGGTTTGATCCCTACCTTGACGCCTCTCTCTCTCTCTCTCTGTCCCAATGGTCGCATGGATTTTTCTTTTGGTCCTCCAGTTTTTCCCTCCACATTTAGAAACGTGCGTTGAAGAGTATTTCGCTGCTAGACATTTCCACGTGATAAGCTACTTCGTTGAGCTATCATTTGTGGCCAGGTCGCTTCTGAAAATTAGCTATGTAGCTCAGTGGGCCTTACCTTGTCAAATAAAAAATAGGGAAAAAACAGAGGCGCTGCCAGCCTTAATACAGATTCATCGACAGTGCCAACGAAACTTTATCGACAGCAGACCATTTTATTTGATCGTAAAGCAAGTGGTCCATTCAGGGAGGAGTTGCGTAAGGACGACACACCCCTGCCCCCTTCATCGTGCCGTGTGTCGTAGGGAAGTAAAAGCGATACACATATTTTAAACGTTGGGGGGAAATTATTTGTAAATGCTCACACTATGAGTGCTTCATCATTATAATAAACGCTTGAGTATGTGGGTACGCTCGTGAGAAGTGTGATGAGATGTTAGTATGTTGAACTTCTTTCGCACCGTACGTAGCCAACCGTGCAAATCGAGGCCAGCTGTGCACATCGGAGGTGCAGGGGTGTAAGGATAACAAACTAAACACACAAAGCAGTTCCAAGGGAATGAGTATTCAATCCAGATGTAAAAGCCTCACGTGGCAGTGCCACAAGAGGCAGCGTAACTTTGGTAGTTCAAATTAGTTTTACGTGGCCAATGACAGCGAATTGTGTGAGAGCCATTTGAAATGAGTGGCCGATGGAAACACATTCCTGCGGAGGGAGCTGGTAGGAACGTTGGGTTGCTCGGTCAATGGCCAGGGTCAACGGCGGCGTGGTGTATTCAGCAAATATGGCCGACTGTGAGGGCAGGCACAAGCCGGCGTGAGTAGGTTAAACGTTGAGTTTTATAAGGGAACCACGGGGTGACCAGCCCCTCCCCACCCAGCCCCACCTCTCCCACCCCCCACCCAGCCCCACCCTCCCCACCCTCCCCTCCCCATCCAGCCCCACCCCTCCCATTTTTGGATGCACGACGGACGGACGGACACAATAATCCCCTGTGGGCTGGTGTAACCAGGAGGTTCCTACCAGTATAATGCACGTATATTAGCCGTGTAAAATAGAACGGTGTAACTAAAGTGTTGCTGCTACCTTAGGTGGGACCTATTTCTGCTCTGTGGCTTGCTCTGCCCAGTGCTGATCCGAACAGACCAGAATACCAGTTTTCATTTTAGGGTGTGTCTACCCAGGGAGATCGCAGTATTGGTTTAGATACTACATGCCACTGACTTTGTGCATGGCCTGGAATTGACGTCTCTGGGTTCATAGCGGAGTGCACTATCCACGACACCACTGCCACCACATGATTCATACACACAAGGCACATACACATATACACACACTCTCCAAACACACGTGTACACACTTACACGGATGAGAATACAAACAGGCACATTCACAGACACTATATATATATACACGCTCAAACGCATACAGGCACTGCATGAAAATACGTCCACGTACAAATACACACGCACGAAATACACACACACACATGAACACATACACGCACGCTATGTACACATGCACGTGCACGCAGAGGCATAAATACACAGACACACTCGCAAACATGCGTACTCGTATTCCATGTACACAAAGACATAAACGCACACAAAGACACACTCACAAACGCACACACATACAGAGATATGCAAATAAAAAGGGTGGGGGGGGGGCGAGGGGGGTGGGGGGGGCGAGTGGGGGGCGGTGGGGGGGGGGGGACCCAGTGACGAACACTGCAACGAGGCCTGACAGCAACAAGCGATTTCGAGACGCAAATTTTCAGAAACGAGCCAGTCTGCGTGCGTGCGTGCGTACGGGCACACCAGCTAAGCAGCCTGACAGATGACAAGGTGATTTACATCACATTAGTTCCGTGCTGCGATATCTCGGACAAGGCCCCGCGTATTATTTTTTATTGTTCTTGTTGTTATTGCTGTTGCCTTCCATCGTTACCTCCGAGTGCACGAGCGCACGGACGGGCACCCTCTTCCCACCGTTCACGTCGACGTACATTACCGAAATTGTGCTTAAGACCGAGAAATATTAATCAAAATTGCACTCCAGCTGTCAAACGCCCGCGTGTATATTTTTTAACAAGGTCCTCTAGGAATAGTCGATGATTAATACATTGCGCCAAATTGTTTGCTACTCGTGATATCAATTACATCCGATGAGATATTCATTATTTCAATTAAGTCGCGGAGAGGGGAGGGGTGGGGATACCCTTTCTTCTGATTTTTCACTTGCTGATATTTGCTTTTTTGTTGATGTGACGAGACGTGTTATTACGGTATGGCCAACGAGTGTGGAGACATTGTAAGGTAGATTGTATTATCCCACTGTTTCTCTGAACAAATATTGACGGAACCTCTCTGACCATCGCAGCCTCGACAGAAGCGCGTAAACGCTTCAGCCTCCTCACTGTGAGCCCGAAGCAAGGTGGTTAAATGGCACCTGGAGAATGGCGAAAGCATACGATGGTGTATCGTACGGCCCAGAGTGGAGTCATGCCTTTTAAGGCCAAGATGAAAAAATAATAGGAAAATGGGCAGTGCCAGGTGTAATGTCAATGAATTGTCTTGTTCATATTAAACACTGCATCGTCAACGGTCGGATGTTTAAATCTGCAAAACTTTTAAATTAATTCAGCTCCATTTGGCAACATTATTGTTTGCGGTAGGGTTAATCAAACTCATGCTATTTGTGGCTTATAGAGTCTACGTGACTGAATATGTACCGTGTTACATATTTGTTAAAAGTTTACACTTGCTGCTCAATTGTAATACAACTCACGCGGGCCAGTTCTTGTGCGCTGCTTGTTTAAACAAGTGATTATGCATGTGCAGTTTTAGCTTTAGAAGAACATTGTCTTAATTTGTTTTCCTACTACAACAGAGCCTTGGAAGAGCGTTCCAATCGAATTAATTATTCAACACTATTATAATGAACTCATTGAAAATTCAATTTATTTTCGTACCAAAGGATTTAAACTAAATTGAACACATAATGACCATGTTTAAATATAATTTTCTCCAGATTTATCGCTTTTATGCTCGCGATAAAATTAATGCATCCTAATTTTACAATGAAAATACGGTGTTTTATTTCACGATATTAATTTAACAATCGGCGCACCACGAGAGACTCACAGGAGCAGAGAGAATACTTTGACCAGGACCAAACCGCGATTTTATTTGGCCTAACGACCGCGCACGTTGATTGGGAGCATTTGCAAAGTTAATAGGCTCGCGGAGCTCCAACGAGCTCTGTTGTTTTGTGCTTTTTGCGGCGTAACAAATCGGGGCAAATTAGCCTTCGCGCTTTTCCTGTAAGCGCCGCGCTCTGCCACTGCGCGAAGCCAGATTAGCGCTGCCACGGCCGAGGCAGGCGAGGGATTTACACGAAATTGCCGTGACTTTTCTCTCACAAGGTGCACTTAACCTCCACGCTGCCACGAGCGCCCAGCGTGCCCTCCGTCTGAATCTCCCATTTGTCTGCAGCACTTGGACAAAAGTAAATGTCTGGATTTTTTTGTTGTAAAAATACCCGAAAAAAAAGTTCCCCCTCCTTTAAAAAAACGTTTCTTTCTCCTACGTTCCAAGTGAAATTCGTGGGGACTATTAATTTCCACTAAACGCATTACATTCAATCGCCTTCGTGATGCTTGGAGTCTGGCGGTTAAGGGAGTTATTAAGATGTTTGCACATCATGCGGCTAATTATTTGGGGAAAATCTCAATTAATGTGAACATTGGCAGAGCTCTGGTTTGCTTGTCAGGGCCATCTATTTATTATGCAATGTGATTATGTGAGCTCATCAGCAGTGTTCAAATCTGAAGCAAAGAATGTACTGTTTAATATTTAATTTACCAACAACTTAATGTAAAATAATTGGATTTTTTTACACGATGCAATGGAGGAAAACTTTTTTGCCGCACAAACACTGGTCAATAGATAGTTGCATTGGACACATTTTAATGTTTTCACTTCTTACATTTTTTGGCCAGCCACACAGTGCGGCATTAAACTTGTTAGCTTGTGTTCCAGCGGTCTGTAGTTTTAGCCTCTGAAAATCAACTATGTTACTCATGCGGTGCGCATTGCAATCGCAACGATGCCGATGCACTCATTGGACGCTATAAGAGTTTTGCGCTGGCGAACGGAGGATTCGCTTGGAGACGTTACACGGTAAATTATCGCCTAAATGCAAGTGCGTGTGCAAGCGAGGATGAACCAGACAGCGACATAGCATTTGCAGTCGCATCAGTCATTAAGAGCCCCCAGTTAGCAAACGGTGCACGCTGCTCTGAAATAATTTTAACACGCTGTGAAATAATATGCTCTTATTATGCGGCGGGAAAGCGACCCGCCTCGGTACACTAATTTATTTTAATGAGCAGCTTCGCTGGAAATTGCACCTCGTTAAAATGCTGTGGTTAACGAGGCCTTAATTACGACGCTGTTTGCAGCCTAATCAGCTAATTATTTCATTATGGCGCTGATGTGAGATTTTTGTTTACGCACACGTCCGTGCGCGTGCACGCGCGCGCGTGCGTGTGGGTTGGAGGGGGGGGCGCGCGTGCACGCGACGTGGCGCGCGCGGCGTATGGAATGTTGGCCCGGGAGCCACAGCGCGTTCCACCGTAAACCTTGCGCAATGAATACATTGACACAATGAGAGGTTAATTGTCGGTATTATTGCGATGACCGCACGTCA